GAAAAATTTGTAAATCATGTATTAATTGAATTAACATGTAATTTATCAACCTAACTTTAGTACAAATTAAAACTTGCAAAGCAGAAAATATGTAGGGTACATTGGGATAGAATTTCAATAAAAAGTACAACTTTTTTAGATCTTGCCTGAGGCGTCAATATTACTATATTCATGATTAATTTTGCCATTAATTTTATTAAATATTTTGTGTATGAAAATGTAATTCAATGCCTATAACTAAGATAATAGAATAAATTTTTATATTGATAATTTAATTAAATTACACATTTTTCACACAGCTAACTGATAATTTATGAATTTATAACGCGGAGCCAAATATTGCAATTTGGTGCATCAGCTCACTAAAATATTCAGATTTAACTATTTATCCAACCACCCAGCGCTTCGCTTTGGCAAACAATTGACCTGAATATATTGCATTACCCTTATAACACTGCTCTGAATAAATAACATTTTGCTGAATAAATAATGCAAGTTTATAATCATTAAGCAACTTTGCAGTAAATGAATATGCAAATAATGAGCGAAGGCCAATGTTAATATCTCGTAATGCATAGGATAATCTTGGATAGAAGATGTGTGTGCAATCAAATGTAATATGAATGTGCAAATATTATATTATAACATTATATGGAAACCATCATGAATATTTAGAATTGGTATGAAAGTTTGTTCATCACACGCTTCTAAGTAATTTTAAAGCCATGTATACAAACACATTTTGTATGAATAAGCATTTCTCCTGTTCTGCGAAAAGCGTGTATATGCATAGTAATTTTATGTACTTTCATTAATTTACTATTGTAAAAGTGAATGTATTGCTTCTTGATGCAAGAGTAATTCCTAGAATTTTAGGCTTGTACAGAACTTAATTAATATTATTCGCATCAGCAAAATATTGACAATGTAAAATACGATATGTTGTTATTTGTAAGCTTTTATATGATATCACACATGCATATAACATCATTTTCATTTAAATTTACAAAATGTTAAGTTGAAATTTTGATTATGTTTCTTTAATACAAAGCTGTAGGAATCTTGTATTGTTGCAAAATGTTTTGCTTGGTGTAAAATTTCAAATCTTGTTTCTAAATACGGTTTTAAAGTAATGGTAAATGTGTAGGCTTTTTTAATGCACTATAAGGCCTAGCGAGACTCAAAGTTCTGCGAGTAAGAAAAACAAAACAAAACAAAAATATATTTTAAAATTTTATATAATTGTTATAAATATCAGACAATGTTACAGTATTTATATGTTTATAATAATCTATTTGAAAACATTCAATATTCCTCGAACATTTCGTTACGGTACGGGAAGTTCCAGCAGTTTGCGATGCCATACACACCACTAGTTAAAGTTTATTTAAACATAATAAAGATTTAGCAATAGAAAGAAATTAATTATATATAATTAATTACTTGAATTGAATGAATTCTTAGAAAATCGAGTATAAAATTTATTACTTAATATTATTATAATCCACGTAAAGTAAACTACATTTTAATTAAAATCACTGATTTGAAAAATCTCGTAAATCTGCAGATTCAAAAGAGTTGCTGTTTATAATTGATGTACATTTTGCTTCAGTATATACAAAGTGTATAATCTGCAAAATTCATACTAAAGCCTGGTATCATATTCAATTATTTGCTCTTTATCCCTTTTTATTTCCGACGATTTAATCCCTGCTAAAATAACCTTTTGAATACGATATCTTCAAACCATTTCAATTTTCTCTTTTACAAAAAAGCAAAAGATAACTTGGACGTGAATAATTAACGTTCTTCGCTAAGTCAAATTCAAAATACCGGGGATGTTCTGCATAAATTTTTATGGTTCTGATTTCTGTGTTTTTGAAAGCAAATTATTATTATTTCAGATAATAACCTAAGTGTTTTATTAAGTGTTCCAGGTAAATGTAATATATCATTTATGGTTATGTATTAATTATTCACTTACATTTCATACGATATAAAAAATATACGAACTATTTATTAATAATTAAATGTAAGAAAATTATTAATGTTTAATAAATCATAAAGAAATATACTAATGTAAATATGATAAATAGTTGCTCGTGAAAATTCACATTTAAAGAAGCACGGAAAATTGTGTGTGAGGTATTCAATGATATGAGATAAACCCTAGAAATTATTATTTTTATAAATTTTGTTAAATGTTTACATAAAAATCACACTGATTTTTTGTATTGCATAAATTCATTCATAATGATAATCATGATATTGTTATAATAACGCCTTACTTATGCATTTAATTATTAATTAATAAAATTATTAATTAATTTAATCGCTTACATTATTTGCATAACTTAGTTCATTATACATTTTACTAGTATATTCATACATTACAATGTTATTAATTAAGTGATATAATTAATAGAATATATATTGGAACTATATAATATGGAAAATTATAAAAATTGAAATGAGAAATTAATAAGAGTAGTAATTTTAATTTATATGACGAGTATTTGTACCTTTGACAACATGATAACTGATGATTAAAGTAATTGCACTTTTTTAGTATGATGGATAAATATTATAATACGTGAATAAGTGAGTAAATGGTATGATTAACTTCCAGAAGGAGAAGTTTATGTTTTCATAGAAAAATCCGATTCGCTAATTTTATGTTTTCTTGACGTTTCAAGCCATTCTGAATCGAATGTGACCAAATTTGGAAAAAGTATGTGTGTGTGTGTGTGCGCGTGTGCGTGAACAGATTTTGTGCCGTAAAACGACGTTTTCTCAAAAACGGTTGGACCGGTTTCAAAAATTTAAAAGCCATCCGATGTATTTCGATGAGGACTAGCGTTTCTGAGTTTTGTGTATCGATCGGCCGAGCCGTTACTTTGTAAGTCGCAGAAAAGTGAAACATTTTTCGTCCACGTTTTAGCCCGCAATTTTTATTCGATTTTGAAAATTCAAAAACCGTTCGAACGATATTGGGGAATCGTGCTGATTAGTTTTTGGTAGAGATCGGCCGGGCCGTTTTCTTGTAATAAAATTTAAAAAAAAAAACGACGATTTTTATGATTATTTTTTTGACGGTAGATACCACAGTCTTCTAGATCATACTAAAATAAATATCAAAGTTTGCAAAAATTAGTATCGTTTTTTTGGCACTTGTCAAAATTAGACCTTTGATCGTCGTTTTCTGCAAAACGCCTGAACCGATTTTTGAAGTTTAAAAGCCATTTGATGTATTCAATGAGGACTATCGTTTGTCGGTTTTGAGAGACGATCTGCCAAACCGTTTCTTTGTAATTTGAAAAAAAGTGTTAAACTTATCGTACACATTCAAGCTCAAACTACCGAATCGATTTTGAAAAATCAAAAACTGTTCGAAAGATATTAGTTGGGAATGATACTGATTAGTTTTAGGTGAAAATCTACCGAGCCGTTTTCTTGTAATTAACCGTTGAAAAAAAAATTTAAGCCAATTTTTATGGAAGTTTTTTCGGTGATATATATCATGGTCTTATAGAACTTACTGAAATATTACGGCCTTACGACAAGTAGTATAATTTTAAAAAATCATCAAAGTTTGAGAAAATGAGTAGTTTTCTTGACATTTGTTAACATTAAAATTAGACGATTTACTTGGTATGACGATAGAGTACCTGGTTTTAATCAACATACTAAACCATTAAACTGGTTCAATTATAAAAATTGGTGATTTTTGAACATTTGTTTCTAGAAAATACTTCGAGCGTTCGATCGTTTTCAATCATGTGTAATAAATCCACTCGGAATACTTTTAATCACTCATAAATTATTTTATTTTTATTGATTAAGTCGATTATTTACGTATATCGGGAAGTTCATGTAACTTGCCTTAAGGCTAAATACCAATACCAACTAGTTTATTGTAGGTCAAAGCGGGACTTAAAGACCCGCGGGTGAAAAGATTCACCTCCATTATCACAAAAACAAATAAAGCATAGATTTTTTAACGATGCTATTTAAAATTTGAAGAAAAATGATGTGTGACCAGTCATCGTCTTAAATTGGGCGACATTGTAGTCAGGAGATAATCCATCGCATTGACAAATTTTTAACGAAAGTTTTTTTTCATTGTTGGTCTTTTTGATTTAGAATACAGTTATTTAGTATTACGATCTATATCGTAAGTAAGAAAATAGTAAATAAAAATATAAAATAAGTTAAAAAAGCAATTATACAAGACCTAAATTAAATTAATATTTTTCATACAAAAATTGTATCTAGTGAGATCTTGTGTGTCCATAAAATGTGCATTTCGAACAGAAGTTGCATGTATCTCATTGTTATTATATCATAAAAAAACAATGAGTATGATTATTATTACAAAAGTAGCTACAAAAGAAAGATTTATTAAGTAATAAGAGTTGATCTATTTTTTGTTTATTATATTTGGGAGTTTTACTGAACATGGTCATTTGTTGTGAATGATTTTTACAAAATAATTGCTCGCAGCCAAATTGGACCTCTGTGCTGCGCCCTACTCTATATACTTAGATTAAAATTTTTAATTTTGTTATTCCAATCTAATAATAAAATTTTAACGCATTTATTAAATATTACAGCTACTAATACGTAATACCCCTTTCAAATTAAAAATAATATGGTGTATCTTTCTGTCTTTGCCTGTGATTTTTTACTCCGCCTATGGGGTAAAAAGGGCCAGGTGACAGATTTTTGAAAAATAGAAAAACAAATATATATCTACTATGTTGGGAATTTCACTGACAGTTGTTTGTTTGATATGTGTTATTTCTTTCGATGGCGGTTTGGTTTTTACAGAGCAAATGCTGAAAGTAAAATTGCACCTTTGTGCCCCGCGCTAACATATTAAAGAAGCAATTATATATATATATATATATATATATATATATATATATATATATAATGCTTGTATAGATGATATAGACCTATATTATGCTTGTAATGATTATTGAAATTCAAATTTTCAGATGGTGGCCACAGACGAGGCAGCCCATCAAACAACCGAGGGAAGTGGCACGACATTCGGAAAACTTCGGCAGACCTTATCGTCTTCCTTGCTCACGGCTCAGGACCGCGGTAAGAAAATTTATTTCATATCATAAATGCGATTAATCTCTCTCGATTGATATCAATCACTCGACATAATCTCTGTAATAGACCATTAGAAGTTTTTGCCCTTCTTCGATATTTTTTGCTCCCTTAATTCATTTTATTTTTCACTGAATATTTTAACCCTAATTTGGATTGTGTGAAAATATTCGGAAAATTTATTGTAGCAATAAAATTACTAAGTAAGTAGTAGCAGACGTTTTTCAACAGGATCTTACAATATTAAAATATACTTTGTTACAATATTAAATCCTACATAATATTGTCTTACCTCCTGTCTGACGGTCCGACGCAATATGCAGAACTGTGCATAGTGCATGTTCGTTGTTTTTGATATGTAATATAAAATTGAACTATCATAAATTTTGGTTTCTGTTATTATCATCGACTACTTTTAAATTATATAGGGGGAAGTCCCCCAGTGTCGGTCACCTAAGGTTATTTATAAATAAATCAAAAAGTACTTCACGAAATGTTTATTAAATTATGATATATGTTGTATAACAAAGTCAAACTAAATTAACAAAACCGCAATCTTCGCTAAAAATAATTAATACTATTAATCAAACTTTGGTATCAAAAAATATGAATTTAAACAGTGGCACCTAGTACCGAACATTTCAAAATAATCTGCATTGATCACATAGGTAGCCATCTCCACACTCTGAAATGTCTGCACATGTGTCTTTGACGAATATTCTTAGATATAGCAAAAAAAGTCACTCTTCATCCACCCTTTTGGCTGGGCCACACCGACGCTCTCAGCTGGTGCATTCACCATAAGCTTTTCATTCTTCGTCTAGGAAATACGAAAAATGGGGGTATGTAGTGACCGTTAGCACTCATACAGAACAAAATTAAATAATTGGAATAAATTACGTATATTCTCACAAGAAATATCAATATGTTTACTGTCCGGCACTAAGGGACAGACATTTTCGTTTCGTTTGGTGGCACCTACTAAAATTGGTTAAGAGATCTAATAATATTCTACCATTTTACGGATAACTATCAAGTACAACTTTTATCTTTGCATACCACTCAAATGTAAATGCATAAATATGCTAGAATTACTTCCATTGATATTCAGTTGACGACGTGATTTTGCGCCTAAAACAGGAAAGGGTTGCTTCCCCTATATCTCAATTTGCTTAAAATTTATCAATCGTTTATAATGTGTAACAATATTTGTGATTGCTCAATTGTTTAAATAGATATCTTGAACATGTAACGTAAAAAAAAGTCATCTGGAGTTAGTTGATACAAAACCTTGGGGCTAGATGTAACAAACGAGAATTATATACAGATATTACAGAAGTAAAGAAGATTGTATGTATTGATACAATTGTTAGTTGGAAAAATATGGGCACATGTGAATAGTGTTACAGACACTATATTGTATTTGTATTATGATAATAATTGTAGTTTACGTTGATTTATGATAAGAATTTCTATTACAAGAGACACTACTAAATATTTTATATGTATTACAAATTATAATTTACATTGATTTATGAAAAGATTAACTCAGAAACTTGTAATTTTTTTAAAAAATAAGTAACGAATTAAACATCAGGAGTACCATTGTTGTTTTTTGTCGTTACTTGTTCCGGTAGATGTTACAACTAGCTCCAAACACGCTGCAAGTCGTAACACCGCAATTTTTCTAGAAAATAATAAATTGTGAAGTTAACAATAGTTATGAAATTATTTTTACTTGATTTAATCGACAAATTGTTAAAGCATATATCTAGCTTTATTTCGTAGAATTAAGAGATCTAATGATAGTAATTTAAGAAAACAAGTTGCAACAAAACTACTATCTTCTCTACTATAGAATAGAAATTAATACAAAAATGTAAGGGCGTGTATAATTATAATAGTAATGTTATTTCTAATATCAAAAACCAAACGACCTTTAGTTATAAAATTGTAAGAACTTACATATGTAACGCATATGTATCTATATATCGTATTTTTTAACCTAAATTATATCTGCGATAGCATGTTTTTTATACGTTATTCATTTATATGCAAATACCTTTTGTTTCATGTGTCATTATCACTGCTGTTTCCAGTTTCATGCTTATGTATTTGAAAGGTCCAAAAAATGTTGCAAAAAATATTCAAACTCCTACGGATATAAAAAAATGTATTTATATAAATCGTGCAAATCACTGTATATCAAATATTTTATAAATTGATCTTCTCACTCACCACATCCTCCCCACGTTAACTATATTTATAACGTTACAGATTGAATATAATTTCTAATTTTAATTATATGGTCTGTGATATCACATATATATTTTAAAATCATTGCTTGATCTTTTTTTTATTTGAACTTTAATTCTATTAGGTGTGCAACTAAGTTTTCGCTGTTTTTCGAAAAAATGTAATTTTATTATAAAAAAAACTCTTACATCCAAATCGTTCAAAGTATTACCTATCGCTAGACACAACTTTTGCCCATCTTTCTGGCAGAGCTCGGATATCTTGACGTCAGAAGTGTTCGTTTTTTGAGGCTATCCTCAAATTAAGCTATTTTCAAATGATGATGTCTTAAAATGAGTTGAATTGCTGATAAGCCAGATCATGTTTCATCGAACAGAATAAGTAAAAATCGGACAGAGCAAAATCTGGGGAATATAGCAGGTGTGCTAGGACTTGCTATTTGAGAGTTGCCAAGTAGGTTTTCTAAGGCTTGGCAACGTGGGGCCGAGCATTGTCAGACAGTAAAATCACTTTTTCATGCCTATGCTTGTATTTGATAGTAAAACAGTAGAGTCATAGGCAACCTTTTGTTATTTATCTAGTTATACGATTTTTATTCTATATGAACACTCTGACAAAATATACACTACCAGTAGAAATTATGAATGTATAGTATGTAAATCAATCACTCGATTTCTGCTTTTGTATTCTTATATTCAACTTTAGCCAAGCTTTATCGACAGATATATCTATATATATATATAAAAGAGGATCGCTTAAGTAGCAACACTTATAACTCACGAACGGCTGAACCGATTTAGATGAAAATTGGCAGGGAGGTAGTTTAGATCCAGGAGGAACACATAGGATACTTTTCATCCTGTTTTTCATTCTACTTCATTATATATATACTAATGAAAATTCTAAATATACTAGCTAGCCCGGCCACGCGTTGCTGTGCTCAGTAATCTATTGGTGGCAGGGAGGTAGTTTAGAGCCAGGGGAAACATATGAAATACTTTTTATCCCGTTTTTTATTCTAATTCTGAATTATTTACTTATAAACTATCTATGTAGTTTATTCAATCTATGATACTATCAATGATTTCATCCATGACATTCACCTTCGATTGTCTACTGTCATTCGGTGTTTCTGTCATTGATGTCTTTACTACCTTTACTACCTCATGTTAAATATAGTGAACGAATATTAGTTCTTGTTTCTATATATAAGGTGAAGTGAAGTTTAATTAATAATGCCGCGACCAAGACGATCGAATCTTTCCCAACAAAGCTGTAAGAAGAATGCGAAATATCGCAAATGCAAGAGCTGAAGAAGAGCATTACATACATTTACATTTACATGTACATTTTGTCGAATAACTTATTCCCAGTTATAATTTCCCAGAATTCATCGAAGAATGGTTAGAAATATATGAAGGTACGGGGTTGAAAGTTCCACGACCAAAGTGTCAAAAACCAGTAAAGCTAAAGCATTGTTTAACAACATTATTTGAAAGTGAAGGGAATAAGGTGTATAACCAGATATAACCTTGATTCTTATGACTTTGATATTGGGAGATAAACGGTCATCTTTGAAAATCCATAGTAAAAGTAATTTCTTCTGTTGATACTTTTTTAACATTAGTTAAAAATGTAATTATTTTGTAAATACCTTTAAAATTAAAATAATACATTAAACCTGTTTGCCATCTGGCCGTTCCAAGTTACCCTGCCTATAGGGTAAAAAGGTCTAGATAACAAATATTTGAAAGACAGAAAAAAGCACATTTTTACAATGATGAAGTAGCTGGTAGTTTTACTGAACGTAGTAAGATAATTGTTTGTTTGAAATGTGTCATTTGTTGTGATAAAATTGATTTGATTTTCATAATAAAATTTATATTTGCTCAAACTCAAATTGGACCTTTGTGTCTTGCACTGCTCTACGTATATACTTTTTATTAAATTTACTATAATTCAAGGTATGTTACTTGAAACTTTTTAAAAAGCAGGTCAGAGCAGGTATATCTAATTCATTTTCTATCTCTCATCGCAGAAATTTGAAAAGTTTGTATAAGCTCAGTAGTATTATTTACAATTATACACAAAATCCAGAATCCAGAAGAATCTGAAAAGCTTAAAACGTAATCAATAAGTTGAAATACGAAAAAAGACTTGGATTGGATTATACCATGATTTCTATAGAAAGTGTATAAAGCTTCCAGTTTGATTGTATTGACAAAACATAGACAAACTAATGGGGTTTATTGTTTTGATAATACCTCATTGTATAAAGCATTCAAACAACACATCCTTATACACTTATAGTATTAATATTTTTGATTCTCTAGAAATTGTTTAGAATATAACTTACTTAGCAAAACAACGTTTGCCGGGGCAGCTAGTATATATATATGCATATATATATATATATATATATATATATATATATATACATATATATAGTATATAGCGAGCGAATATTCGCACAGGATCGCTTCGATTAATATCATATTTATTTAGTAAATTGGGGTTATTCTGGAACCTTGTTGACATAAGTTATGCGTTTCTAAAATGTAAGCAATATCAATAAAAGTTTTATTTGATTAGGAGTGAAATAATTTTAGCATAATTTCAATATTAGGTTTGTCGATGGAATTCTCTATTTTTAAATATATGTATATATATATAAATATATATATATATATATATATATATACATATATGTATTATGTCGATTATGATTAATA